TCAGGTCACCAAGGTCATGAGAAATTTTTTTTGTATAATGCCCAACACTTACTACTGCCCAAGTAAACTGTCTTCTCTCAAAAGAATCCATAGAATTAAGATGTTGTTGAGAAAAAAAACAATTGTTATTGAGAAAAGAACAGGGGGAGGGGAGCCAAGATAGCACAGTAAAAGCAGTGACTTGATTGAGCTATCCCCCAAACCCCTCCAAATACCTGTAAAAAATGGCTCTAAACAAATTCTAGAGCAGCAGAACCCACTAAAAGACAGAGTGAAACAAATTTCCAGCCCAAGACAACCTGGATGGTTGATTGGAAAGGTCTATTGTGCTGAGCTGGGAGAGGAACGTAGTTCAGTGTGAGTGCGCAGGCAAAGACCAGGCCTCCGCAAACCTGGAGCAGGCCTCAGGGGACTGAATCACAGGCAGCTGTAGCAGTTTCCAGACTTCTCAATCCACAAATGCCAAAGAGAACTTAGAAGGTCAGTAGGAAAAGTCTGTAACCACAGTGGGAGAGAAGCTCGGTCCCAGCCCCAGTACCAGCTGCAGACCCGGGGCAGTGGCTGCTTCCAAAGTTAGGCACACTGACAGAGGGAGGAATCAAGAGGCTGATCAGAGGTGGATTGCAGAGATCTCTCTGCTGGTGCAGGATTCTCTTGCTTTGCCTGTGCTTGGATCTGGGTCACAGTTCTGGGTGGTGATCCTGGGGCAAGGAGGAGTGCTGGCGTGGTGGAGCTTGTAGTGGCTGCGGAGAGGAAATCGTCCTCACAGTTCCAAGGCAGAAAAGAGTGCTTGTGGTCACTCATACACCAGAGCACAGGTCAGGAAAGGAGTAAACACCTCACCTTTGATCATACCACCTTGGAAGAACTGAAAATTTACAAGTCCCTAGAAGTATCTCTGAAAACAGCTGCACAAAACCCCCAAAGCTTGGGACGGTACACCCTCCACACTGGAAGCAGACCCCTACCTTGACAAAGACTTTATAACTCAAGTAACTGGCTGGGATCACGAGCAAACTGCACAAAAAGAGTCAGACCATAGAATCTTTCTTTGGAGACAAAGAAGATCAAAACATACAACCAGAAGAAGACAACAAAGTCAAAGCTCCCACATCCAAAGCCTCCAAGAAAAATATGAATTGGTCCCAGATCATACAAGAGCTCAAAAAGGATTTTGAGAAGCAAGTAAGAGAAGAAGAGGAAAAGCTGGGAAGAGAAATGAGAGTGATGCAAGAAAATCATGAAAAACAAGTCAACAGCTTGCTAAAGAAGATCCAAAAAAAAAAAAATACTGAAGAAAATAACACCTTAAAAAATAGCCTAACCCAAATGGCAAAAAAGGTCCAAAAAGCCAATGAGGAGAAGAATGCCTTCAAAAGCAGAATTGGCCAAATGGAAAAGAAAGTCCAAAAGCTCACTGAAGAAAATACTTCCTTAAAAATTAGAATGGAGCAAATGGAAGCCAGTGACTTTATGAGAAATCAAGACATTGTAAAACAAAACCAAAAGAAAAAAAGAAAAGAACAACAAGAACAGGAGGTGGGAGAAGGGAAGAAAGAAACAACAAATGAAAAAAGAAGGAAGGAAAAGAATTAAGGCATGTGAAACACTACTTCCTTTTCCCCTAACAGAAAAAAAAACAAAACACTAAGACAACTGAGACTAGAAAAGGATGGCTATGGCCATCTAGTGAGTACATTACCTTCTTTCCATTCTCAGCCTCACACATATATTGGTTCTGATTATTTTTATTTAAAGTATTATTTATACCTTTTGATTTTTATGCCACAGTCATTTCCCTATATTTTTACCACCTCCTATAAAAAAAAGTTCTTACTCTTATACCTTCCCTTCTAACAAAGAGTATTAAGTAAAATCTATAGAGTTGACCATAACTCAGAATCACAGAAATTTATTAGTTAAGTGAGTTTTTGAGACTAGCTAATGCAACCCATAATCCTGAAAGAATACCCACTACAACATAATTGGTCAAATAGTCATCTACTTCTGTTCACAGACCTCTAATGGAGAAGGCAGGAAGGGGAGGGAGAGTCACCCCTAGGATGTCTCTAACTGTTAGCAAGTTCTTGTTCGCTGCAAACATCAATCAGCCTCTTTTCAACTTCTACTCATTGTTTTACCCTCTGGGGCAAAATTGATTGCGCCAAACCCCTCTTCCATACAGAAGCTCTTGAAGACATCAGCACATGGAATATTTCCTAACCTACTACCATTCACAGCACCTTTCTATCAGTGGAGACAAAGTTAACATTCTACTGAGTCTCTAAATTTACAACATTCCACGCCACTTCCCCCACCACCCATAGTTCTCTAATACCAATTTTCTAACAATAACCAGCTATAGCACTTAAGATATGAGAAATGGAAATTTCTCTGCTTAGCTTCTTGACTATATAAGCTAGCCTACTGGCATATCTACTATGATTACTTAATTAGCTCCTCGCTGCCATTTGAAAACACTTGTAAGATTTGTGAATAAGGTAAAGGTGGAATCTACTTCCTAGACGAAAAACACAAATTTCTCTGCCAAGCTTCAAATTAGGAAAAGAGAAAGAAAGAAATGGAGGGATGAAGGAAGGGAAGAAAGAAGGGAGGGAGGGAGGGAGGGAGAGAGGGAGAGAGGAAGGAAGGAAAGGAGGGAGGGAGGGAAGGAGGAAGGAAGGGAGGAAGGAAGGGAGGGAGGGTGCTGCATTAAGTTGTGATCCTTTAATCCAAGGGGGCAAGCCCGAGAGTCAGTATTTTTCACAAATACATTGCATTAAAGTTCCTTAATTGGGATTTAATCAAATGATGGCTGAGCTACTGTACCAGCATCTCAAAGCCGGTAGCCTAATTATTTCTCTTTCTACAAATGAATAGCAGCTATCGTCCACCAGAGGTGTCTCAACAGCTTCGTGCGCACTAATGAGGTTTAATGACAGTTTGACAGCACCATAAAGGGAGGCAGAGATTCATGACTGGTTGTGGAGTAAAATCTCCTAGGCTGATCACCAAGCTATTTTTACAACCAGGCTAAAGAAAATAACCAAAGCCCTTCTTTAGCCACTAAAATTTCACAGTACAGATTTTCATCTCCATTTTTTCCTAGGAGAATTCAGAATTCACATAAGGAAGTGCTGATCTGGAAAATGGCGCAAATGGCCAGCACTCAGGCAGTGACTAAGACGACTGGATACAACAGAACCTACCAGGACTGTTTCATTACTTATTTAAAGCCGGTTTCTTATGAGGAGAATCCAGAAATTATTAGCAAGGGTCCTGTGATGCTGTTTTTTTATTTTATTTTATGTTATTTTATATTATGTTATTTTAATAAGACAGTTTGTGTTCTAATTTTAGAACTCAATATAGGCTGCCTTAACTTTATTGTTCACATTTCTTTATATTTTCCTTTTCTTCTAAAACATTATTCTGACAAGAAAGATTAAGTAAGGGCAGTGAGCCATGGTAGATAGAATGTAGGTGCTTAGAAGCAGGAAGACCTGTGTTTAAATCCTACCTTGGGCATCTATTAGTGGGTGACGCTTAGCACATCACTAGACTGCCCTGTTCTTCATGCAACTTCTCACAATTTATTGGCTAAATCATGGACAAGTTGAGCCCTGCATCACTGGAGGAAGTTCCCTACATTCAAAATCACAAATCTGTTGGGTATTTATGTATAAATTGTATAAGTAGAAGTAGTCAAAGACAGGTCTACAGAAAAGCTCATTCAACATTTGTAAAAAAAAAAAAATTTCTAAAACCAAAAAATCACATTGTCCTGCTTAAGAATAAATTGTTTTTCTTTACCCATGTGCCCTCTCCTTCATGGGCTATATGAACAGATGCAAAATTTATTTTGAAAAAACAAGGTAAGGTGGGGGGAGGGGTGGGGAGAAAATACAGTCACCTTTCAGAGAGGGGGTAGGGGAAATTCTACAGTGACCATCATAGTCACACACTGACATGGTTTCTGCTCCCCATTTTATACTGACAGTCATCCAACTTAAACAAGGACACTAGCCACTGAAATTCCTGAGTCAGAAAGCAAACTTGCATGGGTATATCAAAAAAAAAAAAAGTCTTACAAAAAAAGCTGAGTTGGCTAACATCTGGTCTAGTTGTAGTAAGGCCATCTACCATGCCAACACTGCACATTCCATAATGGTGTAATTATGGAATCATAACATCTTAGGATCACAAGGGATCTTTGGGGTCACCTAGTCTATTCCCTGACTTTAGGCAGGACCGTATCAAAATAATAACAGATACACTCAATTTTTGAGGTCTACATAAAATCAGCCTATATAATCTCCCTCGGGTGTCACAGCATAACATTACAAATGCTGATAATAATAACAATAATAATAATAATAGCTGTCATTTCTATAGCACTTTCAGGTTTGTAAAACATTTTCTTCACAACCATCTATGAGCTAGATAGAGCAAGCATCAATATTCCCATTTTATAGATGAGGAAATTGAGGCAGAGGGAGATTATATGACTTGCCCCTAGTCACAAACCAATAAATATTACATGACGCATGAGTGTGTGCTGGTAAATATTTCACAACCAAAGGTCCATACGCACAACACACTTTTAGGTTTACCTGCATTATTAACATTTTCTCCATCACTGTTTTTAAATCTAGAAATCAACAAAACAATAAATCAAGCCTTGATTTGCAGCATTTGCCCATTTCTGAGATGTTAACGCTCTCACTGAAAATTTAACAAACGGCTCACCGGAACAGGCTCCAGCCCAGCCCTGCTTATGTCACCAGCGAATAATGATTGACAAGCCTGCCTTCACATGCCAAGTCTTTTGCATATGCAGTGCCAGTGACTCCAGGTGGAAGACAAATCCAAGTGCCCAACGAAAAGTGTTTATTTACACTGTAAAATGATTCAGCATAGTCTTTTAACCAAAGAACTCCTAGAGTAAATTTAACAGCATTTCTCAGGTGCAGAAAAAAAAAATTATATAAGTCGGTTACCTTTTCATGGTTTTCTATAAGGATTTCCACTACAATGTTCTGAAACTTCAGGTCCATGATGGCAGCAACTGTTTCTTCCTGTGGCCTCATCAGTGTTGGTCCAAACACCACTCCCAGATTTGCAACTGTCATGAGATTTTGCTTGGCATGGTTTGAAACACTTATTGTGATAAAAGGAGAAAGAAAGGAGCAAAAAAAAATTTTTTTAAGCTGCCATCATCTTGGAATGCAGAATGTGTTCTCATGTTTAACATCAACATTCACAAAACTTCAAAAAAAGGGCCTGATCTGGAGGCAAAGGTCAAGGGTTCAAATCCCAGCTCTGAGCCTTGCAACTTGTATGACCTTAGGTGTACCCCTGAACCTCACTGGGACTCAGGTTCCACCTCTATAAAATGTAAGAACAGGACCAGAAGATCTCTAAGGTCCCATCTAAAACCATATCTATGATCTGATGGAGTCAAATACAAGTTTTAGAGGGTATTATCTAAAAGTTTGAACTAAGTGGCTGTTTAAATTGGGGCAAAATTACTTCAATTCTTTGGGCCTCAGTTTCCTGGTAAAATGAAGGGGTTGGGCTAGATCAGAGGTTCTTAAGCAGGGTTCCATGAACTTGGTGTGTTTGTAAAATATATATACATATATATGTGTGTGTATGTGTGTATATATATATATATGTATGTATGTATGTATACACACACACTCATAAATACAAACATAGATACATATACGTATATATCTACACACGGATACATATATATCTAAACATAGATACATATACATATCTATATATATATATTTTGATAACTATAATTTCAGTATAATTGGTTTCCTTTGTAATCTTATGTATTTTATTCATACTTTTTTTAAAATTTCCAGAAGAGGTCCAGAAGCTTCATTAAACTCTCAAAGGTGACCCACAAAGAAGATTAAGAATCGTTAGAGCAGATCATTTCTAAGATGCCTTCTAAAAGTTTATGTTTCTAAGTCACTCACATTAACATCTCCATCAAATTACGTACTGTTTAAAGATGATAAATAAAACTGGAGCAAAAAGATTATGGGATAATAATGGTACAAGCTACTCCTGTGTAATGAAAAAGGACAAACATGAAGAATACAAAGACACACAGAAAGACTTAAACAAAACAACATGGGACAAGATCAGCTGGATAAGAATATACACGGTGACTACAGCCGTATTAAAAAAAAAAAAGGAAGAAAATTGCCAAGACCACAAAAGGACTCAGGAGGGGACAGAGAACAAGTGAAGTGTGATTTCTCTTATGGCCATAGATTTATAACTGGAAGGGACCTAAGAAATGATCTAGTCCAACCCCCTCACTTTAAAGATAGGAGAACGAAAGGCCCAGAGAAGGAGATTAAGTGACTTGCCCAAGGTCATGCAGGTGGGTAAGGTGCAAGGCCAGGAGTTGAGCCCACATCTCTGACTGTAAATCTACTGGTCTTTGTAGATACTGGGCTACTTTCTAATATTACTGTTATAATGTTAAATTTTATATTGTCACCATTGTAAAGGGCTTGGATTTAAGGGTTTTACTTGTTGATTTACCCCATATTTAGGTTATTTCTTCAGACTATTATACTGCTAAAAAGAGTGGTGGTAGTAGTAGGAGTAGTAATGATGATAATAGAATAAGACAAAAAAAACTGGGGTCACTTGGAAATACTGTTCCTAAGCTGACTGGAAAAATTCAGTGCCATTTCCCTCAGCCTATACTTATGCAGGTGTGAAACTAACCTAAACTGCTAAGAAGTCTTTAGGCCTGGTCAGTCTGAGTCAGTCAAGGAGGAAAAAAGGATCCTATTCCCTTCCTTCCCTTCAAACCAAACCCTATGTTGCTGGCAATGTCCTTAAGTAAATAATTACACAAATTCATGAAATATTAAATTTCAGCACTCTTCTCCAAAACACACACTGTGAGTTAAACTTCTAGCCTGCTTTTACAGGTTTGGTTCCTGGTACTGTGTACAAGAGCCACAGCTCTACTCGCTACAAACACAGCTCACCAGGACCACGATCCATCTCCTACAACACATGGAGAAAAGGAATTTCAAAATTAAAAAAGAAGAAAGGGCTTACTTCGTTAAGTGTTTCACCAAAATGTCCAACATTTCCTTATTTTTCTCTGGGAGTCTGTGGACCAGGAAATGAATAGCATTGACTCGAGATTCTGGGCTGCCACACTCTTGAAAAATAAATAAGATAGTTAGTAAAAATATACTAAACCAAAAATACTCCTAAAATCAACATCTCATGCACCAGTTTTGTTTTCCACATTTGGTTATTTCCAAATGGGGAAGATATGAAGCTGTTTCTTCCCAATTGTTCAAACCTATCCTGCTCTCTCTACCATGGTTGAAATCACTGCCCTCCTTGTACTATGCAATGAGTGTGGGGTGATGGGGAAAGACGAAGGGGGAGTTGAAAACCAATGCCTTCCCCCTCCAGGTTATATTTAAAAAGACAGCTGTTGCCATTTTTTTTCCTTTTGCTGCATGCACTTAGTTTCTGCTCAGAAGTAGGCTCAGTCCGGCTGAAATCTCATGCCTTGATCATTGGTCCAAGATATGAAAGACAAATGCAGCAAAGGAATGTCCTCTTTTGCTCCTAAAGCCTTCTGCATTAATCACCTTCTACCAAGACTTAGGACCTGCTGACAGCGTGGCACATAAAACTCCCTTCCAAAATTCCCTGAGGATATCACACAGGGTCTCAGAAAGGTTACAGTTAATAACAATAACATGACATTTCTATAGCTCCTGAGGGTTTGCAAAGCACTTTCCCTAAAGCACTTCATTATAGCCTCATAGTAACCCTATGAGGTCGAGGTTATTATTACACATGGATTAAGCAGCCAATTCAGGGGATCACAGGCTGAGAATTGGAAGGGACCTGAGGGGTTTATCAGTGCTTTAACATGCTACTTCCCCAAAATGGAATATAAGCTCCCTGAGGGCTGAAGCAGTTTCATTTTTTTCTTTATATCCCAAGCACCTAGTAAATAGTAAAAACTTTTAAAATGCTAGTTAAGGAGAAATTAATCTGGTCTAATCCCTTATTTTACAGGTGAGGAAATTAAGGCAGAGAAAGGTCAAATGATTTATCTAGATCACATGGGTGGTAATTGGGTAGAAAATGGCAGAGAAGAGATTTCGAATCCAAGATTCTAGACTCCAAAAACCCAACCAAGGCTATCATGTGACACATATCAAGACATACCAAATGAATAAAGGAGTCTTAGAAACAAAGTCAATCTATCACCGGCTACAACAGTAAAATTAACAGAGCAGTTGAGTCATTAAAATGAGAAATAACAACAAATAAATTCTCAATCTGGAGTGAAAACCAGACACTCTGTCCATGAGAGTGTCACATATTAAATAAATGTTGAGAAATCTGAGGGGAGTTAGGCTTAAGTGACTGTTGTACTGTTGTTCTTCAGAGTGATGACTTTTTTTTTTTTAAAAGAGAACTCATAAGATGGACTGAAAATAAAATCACAAAAATATTACAGGAATATGAAATTCCATGTACTATAACCACAAACAAATCTGAAAACTTGAGCATAGAAAATCCATTTATCTATATATATTTCCTATCAATTGTTAATTTATGCATATATGCGATATACATAAATTTCAAATTACTTATTCACAAAGAAACATAAGATGGGATAATACCCACACATACACCATACACACTCTGCATATGATTCATTGAAAAATAATTAAAAATTAACTTTTTACAAGTGTCACCTCCTCCCTCCTCCAAAAAAACTTTGCTGTGTTAAGTCTTTCCTGTCTATTGCGGAAGCCAGTTTAGAGTTAAGGTTGGTATTTTAATTATCCTTAACCTTCTGTTTCTAGGCTCCCATTACAATATAACAGATTCTCACAAGGATACCTCAAGTCACTAAAAAGTTCTCCTTCTTAAACGAAAAGATATTGAATTATGTTTTGTCTACTTTTGCCCCTCCATTCAAATAGCTTACCACTGGTATAACCTTAGAAAGTCACAACTCCTTGGGACGTAGTTACTTTATCTGTAAAATGACCACCTGACATCTGAGTTTCCTTTCAGACTGATTTGACCTCATCATGCCTTGTCATGGCTCACAGGTGTGGTGCAGAGAACAGGTTCTCAAAGGTGCACATACCAAGCTGCAGATACTTAAAGTATGGACCCGGTGATGATCCAAGGATAAGACTTCTCTTGGAAGGCAAAACCACAACCCAGAATTTTTACCCCAGAAACATGCGGTAAAAAAAAAAGGATGGGGAGAAGTGGCGATTGCTTAAGAAGACCACCTTGGCCCACCCTAGGCTAATTACAGGTCTCAGGGAGAGGCTCATCACAAAAAGCTGACTCCATGAAGATTATCAATAAGGCACAGAAGAGGTATTAATCTGCTTCCCTAGATGGACAAACTGATTCAATGAAATTGTGCCTCTCCTGAAATACTGAAGTATATAGGTTTAGTGTTAAACATATTTTATCTGTCAATTATTGGAAGGTGTACAATACACATATGGCATCTACACTAACACTTATCCAGAAGACTCCATTCCTAGAGCTTCCTAGATTTACTGTGCCAGTAATTTTTTTTATTATTTTAATAGTAAAAAATAAAATCATCCAAAGCATTAACTGCACTTCTATCTGTGCATCATGAAAGTCTATAATGAGTTCACTATAATCCTAACCCTAAGCAGGTTATCAAAGACAACTAAATGCAAAGAGAAATATTAATACAAGTTAAATATTTACATTATATGCATACAAGAACTTTTTATAGATGCATTTTGGGCAAGTCTCCAATTTCCTTTGGGGCCAAAGTGGGAGAAATTGGAGGGGAGGAGAGAAGCTCTCAGTTACAGTTTGATATAGATTACAATTTCCTCAGAAGTAAAATGATGAGAGAAAGCATCAGACCAGATGAGCTTTAAGAGTCCTTACAGCTCTCGCATTCTTTGAGTCTATGTGATATGACTGATCTACCCTAACCCACAGAGGCGTGGCTCACGGCGATGGTCTTTGCTTCTGTCTAGTTTTAATGGAGTGAAAAACTTGGAGCAGCTAGGTAATGCAGTGGATACAGCAGCAGCCCTGGAGGGAGGAAGGGAGAGAAGGGAGAGAAGGAAGGAGAAAGGAGGAGGGGAGAGAGGAGAGAGGTGGAAGGAGGGAGAAGAACTTGCAGTTGGATACCAACATTCCCCAACAGTATCTAAAAGACATATATAGTCTCCACCTTCCTCATTTAAATAAGGTTCAAATAAGGTAATATTTTAAAAGCACTTGGCAGTTCCTAGCATATAGTAGGCACTTATTAAATGCTTGTTTCTTTTCTTCCTTCCTTCAAGGGAAATTTGAACACAGCTAACCAAAAATTACAAAATTAGAAGGGACCTCAGCAGATTATCTAATCCAAACCCTACCTGAGACACTCCTACCAAAGAGTAAGTTTTTGGTTACAGAGCATCTCTTTTAACATCTCCAGTGACAGGGAACTCACTCCTTTTCAAGAAAGGGAAATCCATTTGAACAAGTCAGGTTGTTAGAAAGTTTCTTCTACTGAGTTGATTACTACCTTCCTGTAACTTTCATCCACTGGTTCTAATTCTGCTCCTCTCTCCTTCTTCTCCCCCAACTCTGTGAAATTCCACATGACCAACCTTTCAAACACAGGGTGTCCTAAAAGTCTTAGTGAGGTTTTCAGCTATTAAAGCTTAACACTGCATTAAGACTTCTGAGACAACCTGCATATGTTTCCTTTAACCAATATTCATTGAACAGGATTTAGAGTTCCCACACCAAGATCCACCCACCCAAAAAATGAAAATAAAAAAGCTGCCCCCCACCTCCACCAATTAGCACTGAGTTCCAGTACTTTTTAAGACAAATGAGTGGATAATTTATTTTCTATTTTTATGGTGTCAGAAAAAAAGGAAAGAAATGTTGATCATATTGAGACCAAGAACTCCACAAATTAAGTCAGATTCTCATCCAAAGCTCCAGACCAGTGCCTTTGTGTGTGTGTGTGTGTGTGTGTGTGGTTGTGGGGGGGGGGGAGGTTTGGGGAGAGATCCAAGATGTGATCTCAACACCAACAGAACCGACTGGAAGTAGCTACAAATGGCCAAGAAGGTATACAAACTAACTGGGGACTGTGGAGACTTCACATAATGTCTATTCCCTTGGCTAAGCTAACGGAAGTTTCAGCACAATGGGACGATCTCCGCAACTAAGTGAAAAAGACTGATCAACTCAAACCCCAAATTTCCTAAAACTCTGTAAAAGGTGATGACATTCTCTCTAATTTTGCCTACCCAATGTTAGTCATTATTTTGTTCGTTGGCTAAACACTGTCTGAATACATATAAATCCAACAGTTTTTTAAAAAAGTCTACAGGGATAAGGGAGAGGAAGAAACAAGATGACTGTCACAAAAAAATAACTCAAACAGACGAACACTGACATTTAAAATCAGCGGCTACTTTCTAAATTTTGCCCCTTAAACTATATTGTTAACATGCGTGGTTTTTCTTATTTAACCGTTTATGAGAGATATCATTCCAACCATAACTCCTCTTAGTTACAAATCTATGCCAAATACTACACTAGGCAGCATGCTTCTTTGAGACTGGAAATGAGATTTCATTTCCTGGCCTTACTGCTCTTCCAATCAACCTGCAGACTACTTTAGAATGTCACCATGAAGTCGGTGGGGGAAGCTTTTCTCACAATCACAGAACCTCAGGAGGCGGAAAGGATCTGCCACAGAAACTAAAATAATGTCCCAAAAGCCCAAGTTAGCTCAGGTCACTACCCAGCTCAAGAGCCTCTCGGAGCTCTCAATGCTTTTAAGACAAAATATAACCTCTTAAGCTCAGTCTTTCCAGCCCACACAGCTCTCATCTTTTCTCATATTACTCTCTCCTTCACACACAACGTTTCAGCCAAACTGATCTGTTTGCTGTTCTGTGAACGTGGCTTCCCATCTCCCCGTTTGCATAGGAAAGTGAAACACTAGGAATACCCTCCTTCCTTCTCTGTACTTCTAAGAAGGATTAGCTCCTTTTAAGATTCAATGAAAAGTCAAAAGATATCAATTAAAAAAAAATTAAGTCTCAAAGAAAGGGCCACTCCTAAAGCAGGGGTTTTTTAACCTGAGATGTGTAAACTTATTTTTTAAAAAAAAATTTTGATAACTGTATTTTGATATAATTGGCTTCCTTATCATTTTGTGTGTTTTATTTTATACATTAAAAACATCATCCTGAGAAAGGATCCTTTGGATTTCCTAGAATGCCAAGGTGGGAGACATGACACACAAAGTTAAGAACCCTTCTCATACAGGAAATGTTTTTTCAGGTCTCTCCTAATTCAGTGATCTCTTCAAATTATCTCACAATTGCTCATACAAGTAAATGTTTCATCCCCTAAGAGAAAATATGGTTCATAGAGGGTAAAGGCTGTGTTCTTCCTCTGATCTTTACATTGCCAGGACCCAGCACAAAGCCTTGCACATAGTAAGTGTTTCACAAGGACTTGCTGAATTGAATCAAGCCCCATGAGGTCAATGCACTTCTATAAAGTCTCTCTATGAGCATGCCAATGACTCTTACAGGAGAACTTTTGTAATCCATCATTTGCACTACCATCCTCACTTATTACCTCTCACAGGGTCTGACCTTTTGTAAAACACAGCAAGTTAAGTGTTCTGAGGCCACCCAAAACAAGTAAGTGGGCAAGCCTTGTTCACAATTAACATATAGAGTTTCTGGTAACTCCAAGCTTTGCTCTGTGATCACTCTTTCTTCAACTCCCAAAGCATGATAGACCAGACCTGGCGCCCTTCTACTCTTTCCAGTCTCTAAGGCAAACAAGACAGAGCCACTCTCCTCCAAGTCAAGTTGAATTTTCTCTTCGTCTGGTTTGCCAAAAGTGCCACAGGGTAGAAAATCAAAATGATCAACCATGTGTTGGAATTTCTTCCAACAGAACATTTCCCCCCATCCCTCCCTCCTACAACTTCTCCCTCAAAACCTTCGATTCCCACGTGGAAACCTATGACCAAACAGAACTATATTCCTACTGCTTTCAAACATCTATTTTAAGTGGTACATTCTAATGAGGCTGGTGAATTCCTTTCCTACTGTAACATACCAGGAACCTCCAGGCTAACCTGGATGCAAACCTCACAAGGAGAACTTTAGGAGCTCTTTTGAAGTGAGATTTAGGCAACAGTAAGACTTAGTCAAAGGACTCAGGAAGACATTTCTCTCCTGAAGATCTTGCAAGGAAACAAAAATAAAACTTTGCAGACTTAGTTCTATGGATCCCTGGTGTTTTGTATACTGTAGCCTGGTAGGCAAATGTTCATGTGGTTGGTATTTTTCGCACTAAATGAAAATTACTGTGTCTATCTGAAAAGCTTATTACAGACAAACTTTTTTTGGAATGAGAACAGACTTAACTTCTGCACTTTTTATTCCAAAATTTCTCAGATCCCCCCTTCATCTCAAGGGTAATCATCCCACATCCCTGGACAATCATTTGTAAGTTTTGTCAATACGTTTCAACCCTCAAAGGCTTCCAAGGCTAAACGAGTTTGGAGAATGTGACATTAATGGATGTGAAATCTTCTCAAGGGACACTTGGGAAAGCCGAGGTCTTGAATTCTACAGCTAGTTCTAAGCCATCTGGCCTGTTACTTGTCTATGGTTGGCCTCAGTTTCCTTAATCTATTAAGCTGTTAACACTGATCTACCTCCAGTGGCCAGGGTGACTGTTAGGCACTTGTCCAATGTCCACAGGAGGGGTGCAAAGTAATAAAAGAAAACTAATCCAGGAATTCTCAGGATGGAGATAGAATATACAGTAATAGGACCCTGCAAATCCAGCTGTCCCCTTCTATATTACTCTCCCTGTTGGATGCTTTTACACATGGAACTGTTTTTAAAAAATAAAATTAGTCTTCACAAAATAATGAGACTCCCATGCTAGTTTGTAGTACACTATGACAGGCTAATTTCTTCTACCCAATTGTCAACTATTTTTATTAAATCATGAACACTCTTCACTAAATATACTAAGAAGGGCAATTGTTACATTTCAAACTAGGCTTTTCTTTCTTTCTAAATTTTCATATAGTATACTCCATGGGAAAAAAAGGTTCCTGTAAACCACCACCTCCTCTGATTTAAGCAAGGCCCTCTCCTACCAACAAAATTACTTTGTTCTGATTCTCATCTATGCCAATGCTTTTTCCCCCAATAAAAGATAAGCTTCTTGAGGGTAGGGACTGGTCTGTTATTTTGGTCTCTGTCTTTCTGCTGTGTAGATATTCAGTAAGTAAGTACTCACTAAATGCCTGTTGAATGAAGAAATGCTTACAAATACTTACTGGCAGGAATGATGAACTCTCCATGTAAATCATATGTCATAAGGGGCTCTGGAAGACTTCTGTTAAAAACAAATAAAAGGACATCACTTTACCAAAAGCAAGCTCACATGCATTGGATCTGTCAGGATTTGTTACAGAAAAGGTTTTCAATGTGTTGGGACCCTTTTGAGTCACATAGCTACATTTTCAAGGATGCCCAACTCAAAAGGCTTACCTTATTAAGAGTTATTTGTGTAAAGTGCCATACGAAAGCTAACAGCTGGCAAATCACTGCCTAAATTAAACCAGCGATATCATACAATCAATTTTGGGAAAGATAATTTAGAATAAATAATGAATAAATTCTTAGAAAACATAAAATTGACAAATAGGACGCATGACCAGTCCAAAACTGTTTTTACAAAGGTTAGAAATTAGGAAAAAAATAGGCATTCTGTTCAATAATAGTGGAAATGTCATTTTAAATCTATCTATGGAAAATTAAACAAAGATATTGAAAAAAAGAGACGTTTAAAGAAAAGAAAAGCAGCAGCATCTTCTTTTTCCCAAATTGCTTTTAAAAGACATGTAAAATTCTTGAATTGAGCGAATTAAAATAATGAAAGAGGGTGAAAAATATTAGTAATGACAAAAATTCAAAAGCATTCACACTCTGCTCTCCTAATCAAAAAATATAAAATGGCCAACAAAAATGGTTTTCCTTCTGCTGGAGAACACGGCTCAATCTACCCCACTTCTTCCTTTTCTTTCAAAGGAATGTAAAACCCCAGTGAATCTCTTATCATTAATGAATATTAAGAGCACCTTCTAAAGCTTAAAACACTATTAAAGGAAAGCCACTAACCTCTTGCCTCCCTCTCACCTGTGTCCTTTCTACCTGCCCGTCACCCTAATACGCATATTATATAGGATCATTAGTTTAAAGCTATAAGAGACCTTAGAGCTCATCTAATCCAACCCTCTCATTTTTACAGAGAAGGAAACTGAGGCTGAAAGAGGTCAGTGAAGTCCAGGACCACCCAATTAGTACCTATGAGAGGCAGGATTTGAACCTAGTCCAAATACAGTACTATATCTACTATATAGGCTCTGGGTGGCGCAGTGACCTGAAGACATAAAGACCTGAGTTTGAATCCTGACTCAGTCATTTACTGTGCAACACTGGGTAAGTCACCTAATCTCTCTGTGCCTCAGTTTCTTCACTTGCAAAATGTTATGATAATAGTAATATCTATCCTACACCTGGGATCAGGTGTTGTGACGATCAAATATGATAGATGTTGGTTGGCTGGGGTCCTTCATTCTCAAAGAGGACCAAAATGACATCACCATGTTGGGGTCAAGACACAATGTGTTCCACTGCGGCTGATCAAACAAATACGAGCTAGGAAGGCGCTATCAACGGTCGGGCACGCATTGTCCATTTGCACAATTTGGAGTGGAGATGTTTAAATCTGCGCATCACATTTTCTTTTGAGCTACTGAAATTTTGCTTTGTTCACAGAGGACAGTGCCTTCTTTGATGTGGGCACAGCATGTTGGGCGGTTCTGTGCCAGGTTAAGTATGTAAAGTGCCCTGTAAAGCATAGAGTACTTTCTATATGTTAGCTACATGCCATGATGGGCTGTTCAGCCTATAAAACATATTATTTAGATCTTCTAATTCATGAGGAAAGAAAGATTTAAATATAAAGGAAAAATTCATGACCCCTGGAATTCAAATCAACAAACACTTCTTTTTGTTTTGTTCCTCAATCGTTTCTCGGTCACGTCCAACTCCTCAAGACTCCATTTGAGTTTTCTTGGCAAAGATACTGGAGTGGTTCGCCAGCCCATTTTACAGATGAGAAAACTGAGGCAAACAAGGTTAAGGGACTTGCCCAGGGTCACACAGCTACTAAGTGTCTGGGGCTAGATTTGAACTTAGGAAGACGAGTCTTCCTGATTCCAGGCCTGGCACTTTATCCACTGTACCACCAAGCTGCCCTCAAACATTTATTAAGCACCTATGTGCAAGAAGAAGCATGACAAGTAACACCTGCGTTCAAGTCCCTACACACACACACAACACACACACACACACACACACACACACACACACACACACAGGCTATGTAACCCTAAGGACAGAGGTTGCAGACAAAGTGCCAACAGAAAGTGGTAGGAGTTTCCTTACCTAGAAACTGGGGGTCCCTCATGCCAAAAAAAAAAATCACAGGTCCATTTCCCATCCCTATCTCTACCACATGCAATGTACCATGCTACCTAAAGCAAATCAAATAATCCCTGCCCTCCAAGATCTTACAGTACGTGCAGCTACATAACAAAGTGGATAGAGTGCTGGGCCTGGAGTCAGGAAGACGAGTTCAAATCAAGCCTGAGATACTTAAACAGCTGTGTGACCCTGAGAAGTCACTGAACCTATGTCTTCCTCAGTTTCCTCAGTTGTAAAATGGGGATAATAAAGCATCTACCTTGCAAGGTAGTTGTGGGGAATCACATGAAATAATATTTGTAAAGCACGATGTAGACCTTAAAGTGCTATGTAATGCCAGCCATTATTATTAGTTATTATTATTATTACTACTATCATATTCTACAGAAGGACTGTGTCCTTTCAGAATAAGCAAGGAAGAAAGAGTTAAGAAAAGGGACATTCTTATATAAGAAGAGAACTAGAAAATGCTAAGAAGAAAAAAAAAGGGGGGGCAGCTAGAGGGCACAGTGGATAGAGCACTGGCCCTGGAATCAGGAGGATCTGAATTCAAATGCACACTCAGACATTTGACACTTACTAGCTGTATGACCACGGGCAAGTCATTTTACCCCATTGTCGTGACAAAAAAAAAAGAAGAAAAAGAAATTGAAGAGGCTTGAGGGACATGAGGGAGAAAAGCACCATGAGGGTTTTAATTCCAGTGCTGATGAAATATATTCACAACTTTTTCCGATGAGTGTGCAACCTAAGATATAAGACCACAACAACCACTTTACATCATGCATAATAAATATTTCTAATGCTAGGGCAGCTCAAATCAAAATGCCAACTGTTATAAATAGACTCTCTGAATGCTGTTTGACAGCATCCCCCTGACTTCCCTCCCAACATGCTTCTGGGTCACATCATCCTATTACAATTTGATGTATAACGAAACGGAGAATGTACCTTCTTAGCTGTAGGACCATTAGTGTGTCCTTTTAGTCACAATGTGGGGAGGAGGCAGGTGGAATCCAATTACAAGTAAAATTCCATTGTAACCAATTAAAAAGAACTAGCATGGTTAGAAAGATGAGCTAGGAGAGGATGCTCCCAATAAGCCCTTTGAGGAGACGACAGGTCCATTAAGTGTCCCACAATACACCTTTGGGGATCTTTCCAATGTATTGTTAGGTTTCTGCTGATTTTTTTTCCTCCTTTTTTTTTTTCATCTTTAAGAAACAGTATTTGTTATACAAGATGGCTCTCTGGGAAGTGGGGAAGGGAAAGGATACTAAGGGAAACTATGGTGATATAAAAAAACAAAAGACACCAATAAAAATTTATTTTAAAAAATTACACTGCAACAAACACCAAAAGGGAGGCATCATATGACAGTGGAAAGAATACTTTACAATCCTCCACCTAGACTCCTACCCTTCACAATCAGGCTGGACCTCAAGGATCTAGTCCCCCAGCATCTGGGGAACACAATCCACTTATCTGGGGAGCTCCTACCCTAAGGCCCAACCCAGATGATTGTAGAGTAACTGCAAAATAGCCTTCATATGTTATTGTATGTACTGGCTGGCCCAGCAACGGACTTCACATCCTATCCAGGAATCCACCCAGATCATGTTGCCATTCACCTGCCAGTATCCATACCCTTTGCCACACCCCTTTCCACCTCTCTTTCCCTGGCCAACACTGTCCTCCAATATATGTTTTTTCCCTGTTAGGATGTAAGCTCCCGGAGAACAAGAGCTATCACTCCTATCCTATTTGCATCTTCACCACTTAGTCTAATGCCTGTCACTTAATCCTTTTTCATTCACTCATTCCTATGAACCCCCATTTCTCCTACAGTGGAAATCTTTTATAATTTGTACACTGCTGAAAATGGAATTTATAGTCTAATAAGAAATGAAACAGTTGGCACCTGACAACTGTAACCAAGTAGAGAGGGGAAAAAAGGGCTCTGAACCCAGGAGGGGAAAGAGGAAAATGCCATTCACAAGATAAACCACATCCTTTTCCTTCTCAAAGCTCTTGGACTCTCTTTTATTTTGGTAGGCAGTTTCGAAGTTTAGGTGGGCTTTTTCTGGCTGAGAAGCTTGGGGCATCAGAGGAGGGTGAGGTGACATGAGCTAAGGGAGAACCACTTTCCCAACAGGATCCACATTCATTCCCTTGAATGGCTATGCCGACATTTTTATCGGCTGAATTTGTTTTCTTAGACAAAAACTCCATAGGCAAAATGAAAATGGACAAGCAAAATCAACTGTGTTCTCCTTGAGGTCTCACCAGGAAACTCGTCAGCAATGGCTAATTCTAACTACAGTTATCTCAGCTACAAATAATGCTGGGAAAAGAGACCTGACACTTAGCAGAGTATTTTGAAAGTAGATTTTTCAAAGCAACCAAGACATAGGCAATCTTCTCAAGCAGAGACATCATATCTAGACTGAACACTTCATTACATCTAGCTATCCATAATCTATATGTGTAGGAGTGAAGATAGATGAAACTTACCCATATGAATGCTTCCTCTATACTAATTTTTCAAAATAACATGAAACCCAATAGGCCAAAATAAGATAACGAGAATAATATGGAAAGAGTAACAATGGTCAGAGGCCAAACCTGTATAGAGGTATATCACAAAGTATCATGAGCTGGATTGCAAATACTCTGCAATAACTAAAAAGATCCTTTGGTCTCAACTCTAACCTTCTCTTACAAGAAGCATGAGGGGAAAACAAAAAAGCAAAGGATTTCTATTACCAGAGGAGCAAGGTAATTAATGATAACTAAAAAACATTCACTTAGTAAACTTGGAAAATTATAATAGCTAGTTTGCTTCTATTTCTTTACATCTTAGGTCACACATGCATGTGTGTGTTTACACTTACACATATATTCTGGTAGCAGAGACAGCCTGGAGTATACTTAACTGGCAGTCAGAGTACCTGGTTTCAAGTCTCAAATCAACACTTACTGTATAACCATAAACATGGTTTAAGATCCTCGGGTCTTAATTTTCTCACCTACAAAATGGAGCTGATAGTCTTTGTACTATCTGTTCCATAGGGCAAGTGGGAGCCAAGTGTCACATAAAATCATAAGGCACTACAGAAATATTTATTACTATTATTTTTAATCAATCCTTTTGCTTGCCTTGGGGCAGGGAACTCGCAAGTGAGCTAGCTCCTTCTACCAATACAGACCAGCTCCTGCTTTACATGACCAGGCACCTCTTTTTCCTATCATAGGGATAAGCACAGGTACAAGAATTATGATATCACTGACACAGGGCAGTAGTTCTCAAACATTTTGGCTTCAGGCATCCGTTATGCTCTTAAAAATTACTGATGACTCCAAGGAACTTTGATGTGGATCATACTTACTGATGTTTACAGTACTAGGAATTAAAACATCTTAATATTATTATGAAAAGAATTTTGACATCATGAACCCCACAAAAAGATCTTGGGGACTCCAGGAAGGCTCTAGGAGAAGATGCTTCCTCTTTGAGAAGATGACAGGCCCATTAAGTGTCATACAGCGCACCTTTTGGAATTTTTCCAGCGTACTGCCAGGTTTGTGCTGATTTTTTCCCCTCCTTTTTTTTTTTCACCTCTAAGAAATAGTATTTGTCATATTGGATGGCTCTCTGGGAGGTGTGGAAGAAAGGGATATTAGGGGAAACTATGGTAATGTAAAAAACAAAAGACATCAATAAAAACTTATTTTTTAAAAAATTCAATTGCAACAAACACAAAAGGGAGGCATCATAGGACTACAGAAAGAATACTTTTGAGCACTGCTGGTATAGGGAATTTCCAGGTGATGAAACTCCCTGTACTAAAGCAGACTGGCACCTTCTCTTCAATTTATACTCTTATAAGAGTGGAGGGGGCGGGGATGATAGAGGGAAGGGAAAATTGGGGGAAGGGGTAATCAGAAGCAAACATTTCTAAGGAGGGACAGGGTCAAAAGACAGAACAGAATAAAGGGGAGGCAGGACAGGATGAAGGGAAATATAGTTAGTTTTTCACAACATGGCTACTATGGAAGTGTTTTGCATGACTACACATGTATAACCTGTATCGAGTGGCTTGCCTTCTCAATGAGGGTGGGTGGGGAAGGAGGAAGGGAGAGAATTTGGAACCCAAAGTTTTAAAAACAAATGTTAAAAATTATTTTCACATGCAACTGGGAAATAAGATATACAGGCAATGGGGTACAGAAATCTATCCTGCCCTACAGGAACATAGAAGGGAATAAAGATAAGAAAAAAAGAAAAGAAAAGAAAAAAAGAACAGTTTATATTTGTCAGGTTCACAATAATAAAAAGGAATTGCACCCAAAAAAATTTATACTCTTATAAGAGAGTTGCTCAGAAAAGGTTAAGTGATTTATATGTCAGAAGTAGAACTTGAGCCAAGATCTTTATGACTGAAGCTGGCTCTCTATCATCTACCCTAAACTGTCCCACTTTTTTTATTAATATTATTACTACTAGTAGTAGTAGTACCACCAGCACCACCACCACCACTACTACTGCTACTACTATTACTACTATTTGAATAATGGCTCCAGAATAATTATGATCATTTTTCTCACTTAACTGAAGCACATACATGATGGTATAAGAGAAGCCTGAAAGTACTGGGTGTGTTGGTATGGCGCAAGGTTACTCATCCACAATTTAATGATAAGAATGATAACTTAGATCACAGGTTACTGGAATATGAGGAGAAAAACAAAGTCTGCTTCTATTAGTATGAGAAATTCCCACTATGGGAATTCCTTCCACTAACGCAGATTACAACCTACGTTTTAGGATGTAGGTTCTAAAGTGTTACCTGAGGTATATCAAGGTCAAATGATGTGTCTCTGGTCATTAAGCTACCAAATGTACATATGAGGATGGATCTGAATCCATAACTTCCTGATGCCATCATGCTCAGGCTTTTATCCAGTATGACAAGTAGCCTCTTGTTCAAGGTTGTCGATAAACAAAATAGTTGTGACCTGTACTCCTTTAAACTATCAATGCTTTCAGAGCATTTGAATTCAACAGTTGAGTCTTTTGAAAAAATTATGCCTCTCAAAATAAAAATTCTATCTACTTTGAGAGAAACAGAAAACCTGTTTTAAAATAACAATAATAATATTCTCTTTTACAAAATCATGAGACCCTATGCTAACCACAGGGTGTGGATCATGATCGTAATTCTCAGCACTTACTTCTATTCTCCTTATTTCTCCTTCTACCCCAGGCTGCATATGTACAGGCTAATTCCATAATCGTAAACCTAATCCTGTTGAATTACATCTCTCTTTTTCAAAGCAACTGAGCACATAAAAAATTTATATGCTTTTTCCCATAACTTTATCTCCAATTAGAAAAATTATTTAATAGAATAGGGTTTTTCCCCCCTTTAAATCTCACATTTCTATTCTCCTTTCTTTTCTTCTCATTCTTTTGACATTTTTGCACAGGCTGTGAAACTTAACTGTGTTGAAAAAGCTTATCAAATCAAAGCCCCTTCTCAGTTTTGTGCGGAAAAGTTCCAGCGGCTCCACACACCCATGGTGTTTACATGGTTCTCCTCTCCATGTTTTAAGTCAGTAAAAACCCTGAGCTTTGATGTTTAATTTACAAACATAATTCCGGCATTCCCAAGTTCTAAAAGCAACACTTGAAAAATCTCATGAGGTCCCACCTTCCTTTCTGAATTCTTGTTGTTGGCAGTAACTCAAGTCACATGACAGATGCTCTGATTTTGACATGAAGAAGGATTTGAAAGCCAATTATTTGCTGAAAAATCTGTTTAATTATCAGGCAAAAATCAATGCTTTCTGAGGACACGCTTAAAGGTTGATGCTTGGCATAGACTCCAATGTTAAAATAGCTAGGAAGAGGTGGACAATTTAAATAAATGAAGGGAAAATACAAAACTCTTCCTAAACTCTCCATGAGCCTTTCCTAGATTCAGTGAAATGCACTGACCCATCCTCATTACTTCCTATAACTTCAATTTTGTATATCCATCTGTCCCTAGGAAAATAAATCACTAAGTGTCAGAGCTCTGACAAGCAAGACTTAGTCTTTCCCAGAATGAGCTCTCCATTAACTTTCTGAACACTTGAAGCCTGACTAAAACTTAACTTTAACTTAGGAAAGTTGCATGAAACACCACATATGCATGACCTTTTCTTAAAGTTCATCCTGAAGTCTGCATATAGCACTGGCTTTCACACAGTTAATATTCCATTTCCCAAACAATCCATCTACTCCCATTGAAGTTCAAATCTATGACCCAGGCAACTTACCTCAAATACTGCTTTAGAGCACTCGTTATAGTCTTCACTTCCCAATCTAAGGAATTTTCGAGGTCCACTTCATTGCATGTTTTGGCATCTGAGCAAAAACAGAAATGAAAAAAATTAAACCTCATACAACCAGAAAACCTCTTTACCAACCCCCAAATCATCAATTCTTAGCAGACCCAAGTCGAAACAGTTAACTCTGTACTCATCTACAAATGCATCAAATGTCAATTCTTAACAGGGTATAAAGTATGAATTATTAAAAACCTCTCAGTAATAGCAACATAGGTAAAATTTAGGCTAGTGTTACCAAGTTATTTGGAGAAAAGGGTGGTCACTGACACCAACAACAAAATGGAATGGGAAAATGGGAACGATTCAGCCACTGTATTACAGGGAAAAGAACAATGGATAAAGAAGTCTTAAGACCTAAGTTCAAATCCCATCTCTGGCACATACTGTATAATGATCTCAGAGGAGTAAATTAACCTCTCTGGATCCCAGGTCTTCATCTGTAAAATGAGGGAGCTGACTGGATGGATTCTAAAGTCCATTCCAAGTCTAAATCTATGACCCTATGATCTTTCACAGATTGACAACTGCCAAGTAAGGCAACTTTTCATTTATGAGAAATGTACTAACAATTGGCATGGCCAAAAGAATACAGTGTGTTTATCTGAATCATTTTTATTTGATGAAGCCACTCAGAGAGCTTGCATTAAAGTTCTCATCCCTTGTAACTGATGGGAAACTATAGTTAATAAAACAACGGCTTTCTCGATGTCATCAACTCAACAGCAAAAAAACATCAGGAGAAACTGATTCTGTAGTTTAGAGCTTAACACATGCCATAGGCCACCAGTCTCTTGAAGACTGAAAGAGAATTGGATCATAGATAAGGCAATGTTTCCATCCATATATAAGCCAATAAAGTCATTACAGCAAGAGACAGCATGGTATAATAGAGGTCCAACCTTAGAATCAGGAAGACCAGGGTTCCAAACTCACCTCTGACATTTACTGGTTGGGTAACCTTCTTTGGGCAAGTTACCTAATCTCCACATTTCCCTAGGCAACTCTCTATGACCAGCCATGATGGACAAGGTGCCAGTAAGTACTGTGAGAGGAAGTTTCCACTTGGATGAGGTGGCATGGGACAGGACAAGAAGCACTAGATTTCATGTCAGAGAACCTGGCTCCATATCCTTGTTCCACCTATCATTTATTGTCTATGTCACCCTTACCCTCTGGGGATTAGCTTCCTCATCAGTACAGTGAGAGGGTTAGCTTGATAAAATGAGGTGATTAGACATCTGAGGTCCTTTCCAGCACTAAATCTATTATCCGATGACGAAATCAGAGATCTGGACATCATCCAAAAAACTTCTTACAAGTGTTGCTATTTCCATATTTTTTTCTTTTGAGAATGGGTCTTCCTACCTCACCCAGCATTCAAGGACACCACTGACTGATACAGAAGTTATGACTGGCTCCATTTCTGACCTGGATCAGTTTGCCTCTCCTTAGGTCCACTGATAGCCCCCTACTCCCAACGGCTTGCCATATTTGCTGCTGGACTTAATGACGACACCTGCTTTGCTTTAGCCCCTACTGCAGCTGTGAACTCCTCAAGTGACTCACCAGGCTCAACCTCTCCTGATAGCAGCGATTACAGGCATACACCACCATACCTGCTATTTCCATCTTAATGTTACTGCTACTCATTCATGCAATAAACATTTCTGAGCACCTACCACATTGGAAATCAAATTTATATTCTTCCCCATCCTACATCACATTTTGTCATCATTCATTATCTAATTTGTTTTATGAGTGGCATGATTAAACTGGCTCTTCCTTTAACGAGCTTTAATGAAGTGTGTGCTTGTCCTATCACCACTCCCCACCTCCCGAAAAAAAAATAAATGTTCTTTTACAGAAAGCTTTTGAGTTTCGAAGAAAAAGACATCTATGGCAATAAACAATGCAAATAAATTAAGTCCAGGGAAAAATAACAACCCAAAAGCACATGGGGGGAAAAAAAAAGGTAAAAATGAAAGATAAGAGAGAACATCCCAATTCCATAGCAGTAATTTTTTTTTTCATTAAAATGTGTAAGTAACAATTATAACAGGCTGTCTTTACTGCTGGGTGTGTAGACAAAGCTGAAAGTGAATATTAAGTAAGCCACAGGGAGAATTGACAAGTAGCCCACTAAGAACCAGCACACTTGTCTCCTACACTGTTGTCTTGTCAAGGGAAACTGAGTTCCATGAAATAAGGTACATTTTTCCCCTAAAGACTGCTGGACTTGTACTTAGGAGGCCCAGGGTTCGAATCCTGCTCTCTGACATTTATTAGCTGTGTAGCCATAGGAAACCCATTTAACCTCAGTTAGCCTTAGGTTTCTCATCTGTAAAAAAGGAGTAATCATTCCTTACAGGATCCACCTCAAAAAGTTGTTGTGAGGATCACATGAGATAAGCTATATCAAAGTGTTTCATAAAATCTGATAAGCTAACAAAAATATTAACATAAATTTTGGACAATATTTTTGGTTTCAAAGAAACCAAATCATTTTTTATGGGTTTTTTTTTTAAAACTGATGGAATATAGGCAAAATAAGACTTCTGCAGGGTAAAGAAAGAACACGACTGAAACAGGAGAAGGTTTTGGTCTTGGGGTGAAACTGAAAGGACACCCACTCAATGTCACGCCTTGGCATTTTAAAAGTGAAACGAAACAGGAAGTGATGGTTATTTGACAGTCAAATTATCGTACATATACGGTCAATTGTTCATGACTCCAGTGACTGTTTAAAGCACTTCAACATTTCTGGATTCCAGCAACTGACAAGCAATATGCAATAAAATACAACAATGGTAATTGACACTGATTACATTTTTGATCAGTTCATACAATTCAGAACTCATCTGTTACTGAGCTTGTCAGACACACCAGAGATACATTTAAAAAATCAAATTAAGCCCCCTGATTGAAGGTGCAGTCCTTTATAACTAGGACTAAATAATTCTGTTCTAAAGGCTTTGCCAACCAATTACTTCTGTAACTGAATATTCTCTCTCTCATTAAATCAATTATTTAAATCTCATTTTAACATACAAGTCAGATAACACTTTCAATCAGCTAGCTACCAGCAAATCACCATCTTAAGGTCCAAAAAGTTTCTAAAAAGGAATCTTTTATATGATGTTCAGCTAACACGTTATCTTTCTGTTTGGTTTTGAGAACCATGGTATTTCTATGGAAAAATAAGCCTTCCTCTTGACTTCCTGGAATAAAAAGCAGCTGTCACATCAGCAGCTAATGACTACATGGTATCTATGCTGCTAATCCACTATTAAATTTTCACTGTTTTCAAATAACTCAATCATTACCATCTCTCATTTACAATAAGAGGCTGCATTTGGCTAGGTGGAATTTGTTGATAACATATTTGGAAGCTTTGAAATACATTCTAAGCAGTCATTCAGAAAGTATGTTTTGCTTTTAAAAAAAAAAAATAGGAGAGAAAAATGACCTCATTCCATTTCTCTCTTTCTTAAAAGTAGGAGGAAACTAAAATAATATGCACAACAAATCAATTTGCAGGTCCTCAGATTGAGCATATTTGGGAGCTAATTCCATGCTTGTAATTAACAAGATCATTCCAAGGGAAGTGGAGATTGTATGATTACTCTGCCTGTGAAGCCATCTCTGATAACGGCTACCACTGACATTTATCCCATCCTGAAGAACTCAAGAAGGCCATTGACTTGAGGTATTGGAAAAATAAGCTTTATGGTCCAAAATCTCAGATATGAGTCAGTTAGGTTAATGTATAAGAAGCAGTGGGGTTTTGTACCCAACTCCACTCCCATATTCCACCTCTGCTATATTCTAGGGGCTGGGGCTTTAAAATGTTCCATGCCTAAAGTAAGCAGGGTAATTCTTAAATAAAGAACCTCTTCTGAATTACTTCTGCTCATCTTCATAGCTCCTTTTCTATTCCTCCCCTCCAAAAAAAAAATCCATCCTGAATTTTCTGCCCCTCAGTTTTAGAAACACACAGAACTCACCAGGACGCATGTTATTATTTTATATTGTCACATAATTTTTCACCTTCTCACTGAACCTATTCCCTGATTTTTTTCACACAGAAGGAAGGAGGAAGAGGAGCAGAGAAACAAAGAGCAAGAAATGTATTTGTTACTCAAGTATCTTATTCTTAATCCATCTCTCACACCCCATTTACCAAAGAAGAGTGACTCACCCAGAGCTACAAAGAGGTAATATTTCTTTTATCAGCAAATGGTTCAGTATTTAGAATAAACATGGGTTTCAAGTGAGGATGTAGGAGAAGCAGATGTGAGGGTAAAGGGAAAAGGGGATGACGTGAAAGCAAATAGATGGAGATGTTCATATCTGGGGCTCAGTCATCTTCGATGAGAGAGAAGGACCAGGGTGCTGCTGCTACCCCCAATCTTACTGATGAGAACATAATTGCTTGTAGTAGCAACAAAGGGAATAGAATGGCCTCGTTCAGGAGGAGAGAAAGGAACAGAGACAATGTGGGAGAAAGTACTGAGCAAGACGGGTAGAAGCTAAGGAATGAATGGTGTCGAGCTACTCTTACTTCCCTTCCCCTCACTTTTCCCCTTCTCCCCAACCACTTGGTAAGCAGTTTAACAACTTCACACTTTCAGAAGATTACCACCAACAAGAATTGCTGTTTTAAACAGAGGGGAAAGGGGTAGTTAAAAAATAAAGTGGAGATGGGAGAAACAGATATTTTTCTCGATTTTATTCTAAAAATGTAAATGAGGAAACATATACAAGGGCCATCAGGGACATATAAGTAAATTCAGCATTCCTCTCCATCTATAAATTACTATAAGTATTTCATATATGGTACCCAAGGCACCTAAAACATTTAAACTAAGCTATATGCAAATACAATAACTTATGTTGAAAGAGTCAGGAGTCAGACATACATAAAATGGTAAGCAGTCTCAATGGATATAAGGAGGTTATTAGGAATAAAAAGGGAACTAAATAAAATACTTCACTTTTAGGGGATGCATACAGCCATGTGGTTTATCTATGTCACATTAAATAACTCGTGAAAACTGTGTGCCTATTCAAAGAAAAAATGTTTTAACAACAAAAAATATCCATTGTGAAAATGCTAACTTGAAACCATTATTTTAACAGAAGCAATGTCCCAAAATACAATGACCTAGCATCAGAAAAATTCATAAATATTAAGCTGGTCAACGTATCACTCTTTGCTTACCTTAGGGTTAGAAGCCAATCATCAAAATCTGGCTGCTACCACTCTGTATAGCTTTTTACTTAAGAGAAAATAAATTCAAAAAGAGTTGGTGGGCATAAGGGAGAAAATAAACCCACTAATATCTACTGGAGAAAATTAAAAGGGAAAAGAAATCCAAAGGAACTCAAATTAGATAGCAGATATTAATACATGAATTTATTTTGAGAGGGCAGTTAGGTGGCTCAGTGGATAGAGTGCTGGGCATGGAGTCAGAAATTCCCGAGTTCAAATCTGTCTCAGACACTTACTAGCTATGTGACCCTGGGCAAGTCACCAAACCCTGTGTGCCTCAGTTTCCAATCTGGAAAATGAGCTGGAAAAGGAAATGGCAAACCACTCCAGTACCTTTGCCAAGAAAACCCCAAATGGGGTTCAGGAAGAGTAGTACACGATTGAAAAACGACTAAACAACAAGAGATTTTAGTCAACATGATGGTAAGGATTTTAGTTAGACTTAAAAACAAACTGTTCTAATGCTGATGCTGCCCAAATATTAAGGAAGCTACATTTTTCCCATAGTCGTAAATAAAGGCAGAATAGCATAGTGGCAAAAAGACCTTGTTTAAATCCCACTTCAGATACCTGCTAGTTGTGTGACAATAAACAGGACATTTAACCCTTGGGTCTTAATTTCCTCATCTGTAAAATGAGATAAGAGCAGCACATACCTACAGGGTTGTTATAAAGATTAAATCAAATAATGCATGGGAAGCACTTTCCAAACCTTAAAGCATTATGGAAATGTCCAATGTAACTGACAACCTGTATAGCCCAGTGAATCTGGTTTTAGGAAGACCTACTTAAAGTCCTTGGAGGCAGCTAGGTGATACAGGGGATAGAGCACTCAGCCTGGAGTCAGGAATAACTGAGTTCAAATCTAACCTCAGATAACTTACTAGCTGTGTGACCCTGGGCAAGTCACTTAACCTCTGTTTGCCTTACTCCACGACAGATTGAAATAGCAAGCTAATCATGTATCTGTGCCAAGAAAACCCCAGAGAGAGCACTGACGTGCTATGGTCCACGGGCCACAAAGAATCAAACAGGACTGAACAACACCAACAACTTTTAAGTCCTGCCTCGGACACTCACTAGCTGTGTGACCCTAGGCAAGTTGCTTAACTTATTTTAGCCTCAGTTTCCTCATGTGGGCAAGTTGCTTAACCTATTTTAGCCTCAGTTTCCTCATCTGGAAAATGGAATATGCAAATGTCTCACAGGGTCACTGTGAGGGCTCAATTAAAATAATCTATGTGATAAGTTTTGTAAGCTTTAAAGTGACAGATAAATGTCAACTAAAAGCAACCTAATCTAGCCTACTTCCTGTCACCACGCTGACTCCCTAACATCTTCGCCATCTGCAGAATGAAGTTAACGAAAATTTTCTCCAACAGCATGATGGAGTCGGCATCCCTTTGTTTTCAGGCTTCACAAGGAAAATAACAAGTTCCTTCACTTATCCAATTTGTGGGGGATTATTGGAGGCAGCAAAGGAGTACACACACCAATACCAACACCACCCACTGCCACACCAAAACACCTTATAAGCTACACACTGCTCTTGAGGGTGCTTCCAATGAGGAAATGATATGGCGGCCGGGAGGTCAGAGACGCACAGAGAGAGATTAATCACAGATTCTGTGACAGCTCTGCACTTCTGGGAGATGGAAAAGACATCTTTGTCCAGACTCTATTTGAACGTGGGGAACTAAGCAATAAAAACATGCTGAGGTTATCGTGACAGATTTAATCCACTACCTAGGGAGGGAGCGCCCTGCACATAGGTGGTGCTTAATAAATGTTGGCTGAACTGAAAATGGGGGTGGGGGGAGGACTAAGAACCTCTGGGTCCCAGTGGCATGTTTTCTGTTCAACATTTCTTTCTGTTTTGATACCAGTATAATCTTCCACTTTGAATCCTTAGAACACAAATCTTATAAACGAGGAAAAAAGTGTTTCTAATTTTAAAATTAAGCAAAAGCAGATGCTGAAATCCCCATTAAACTCTTCCAGCTGCTACTGAACCACTGGCAACCTGAGTTCTATTTAATTTGGAGACCGCTGATGGTAAACGGGGAACACCGGCCTGCCAAAACCATATGCCTAAGTCAGACCAGAGTCCAAAAATGAAAACAGCCCCCGAAAGTAGACAGCACATTATTATAACACAACTGTCCAACTGGAAGACAAGTAAGTCTACCTTGTGTTGAAAGCCTCAGGAAAAAAAAAAAACACTGTTGCTTATGAAATCTTTCATGCAACACAACCAACATTATCTATACAGTGCTGGGTGTTTGTTTTTTTTTATTCCTCTTGGGTGAAGCATCCTCCCCCAGAATCTTTGCTACAAGTCTGTACAATGCAAGCAGATTTAAATGCACTGACAGAATACCTGAGGGTGTTGTTAATATTGATTAATTAAAGTGAGATATCATATAAATTAATATTTAGCAAGGTCATTATGACAGACTGATGTGACGCATAGGCCCTCAAGCCTGATGCCTTATCATCATTCCAGAAGAGACAGCCTGTTTAAGGAGGTGGGGAAGTGGGGGGCAGGAAGGTAGTCATACAGGTGGCATTGAATTGACAGTGGCATCTAATATAAAAAGCGCTTTGTCATTCACATAATGTCTTGGGTAATAAAATGAATTCACTTTCTGGTTTCCTCTAGCCTGCTGTGCCAAAGAACACTGTGTTATCAGCACAGATGGAGCGTGCCTGGATCTGGAGAAGAGCCTGGTGCAAAATGCATACAAGCCACTCTGAATACCAATGAAGCCCCAAGAATCGGCCCCTCGCTGTCAGAGTGACAAGTTTGGAAGCTCCATAAAAATGAACTAATCCCAGTGGTCTTGTCGAACCTCATGTACTGTCAGGACTCTGGCCAGGCAATCAGGAAGCCAGTTAGATATCAGAGGCCGGCAGGCAGGGCAGCGATGGATTTGCATATGGAAGGTTGGGGTCCTGGGTTCAGACCCCCTCCTCTACTACTGTGCGACCTTAGGCAGGTTGTCGAACCCCTCTGGCCTTCACTTTCCTCATCTGTGAAATGAGAGAGTTGGACCTTCTGGGTCTAAATCTATGATCCCAGAGAGACAGCATAGTACAATGGACAGCATCAGATTTAGAGTTAAAGCACTGAGTTCAAATGTCACTCCTGTCCCTTACTGAGAGACCGTGGAGCACTTTAGTCTTTTGCTCTTCCTCCGTAAAACGAGGAATTAGATTGCATGGGTCCCAAATGCCCCTTCCAGCTCGAAATCTAGAATCCTAAGATCCTGTTGTTCTGGTAGAAGAGGGAAGTGAGGGAAGGCACCAAACCCATGGACCCAAATTACTCTTCTAACCTAAAAGATGAAGGAGCAGGGGAGAGGCTCCGCTGATGTCAACATTAATGCTTCCCTCCAGTAACCAACCCATCACTGCTCAGGAGTAAATGTGCCTAGACTCCAGGAGTAAGGAATGACTTCGCAAATACAAATTCTATGACCATAAAAGATCCTATAAAATTAAATTAAGAGAAACCAATAATGCATGGTAAAAAAAAAAAAAGGATTATAAAAGAGGCATACCCATTAACACACTCAGAAGTCTCTGGACCTTTGAACTCACCCCCACAACTCTGTACAGTCCTTGATCATTTATACCTATGTGGGAGACAAAAAAAAAAAGTTAGCAAGGATATTTTATGTAATCTTTCTACATTTTTTAAAAGACCAAAACACTTTCATCACTAAATAATTAATTCCAGAACATCAAACACCAGTAAAACTTTGTCAAGTCTCTGAAAATAAGGCATGTGACAAAAACAGCTGTCTAGCAATAGCACTGGGCCATAAACTGTGATTGGAAAATCATCTCCTATTTTTAAAAAATGATTCGCCCTTTCTCCTCATCTTCCCCCTTGCTATCATCCCACACCACTTCCTCCTCTTTTGTTTCTAATAAGTTCATGGCCCTTCTTGCTTAGGTGAACGTGCACTCCTGATGAAGGCATAATCAATAGCCATCCTGTGTTCTCCGCAGATTGTCCCTTCCATCAGACCTTCTCTTGAAATTCTATGTTTCTCTATCTACTGAATCTACTCTGCTCATACAGACACACCCAACTCTCCCCAACCTTGGAAAATTCTCACTACATGCTGCCATTCTTACTACCTATGCTAGAGCTCTCCTCCCTTTCTTAGAGAAATTCTTTGAAAATCTATTATCACTACCTTCACTTCCTCTCCTCTCACTCTCTTCCAACTGCCAGTAGCCTAATTTATAACCACATCACTCAAATGAGACTGCTCTCTTTAAAGTTACCAGTGATCTCTTACCTGATAAATCTAATGGTCTCTTCTAAATCCTCATCCTTCTTGACCTCTCTGCATCACTTAATATTGGTGACTATCCTACCCTCTGAGATACTCTTCTCTCTGGGTTTTTGGGACACTCTCCCTCTCTTGGTTCTCCTATCTGTCTCACCACTGTTTTAATCTTTTTTGCTGGTTCATTATTGATAACATTTCCATTAAACAGGGGAATATCCCAAGGTTCAGATTTGGGCCCTCTTCTCTTCTTATACTTCATTTGGTGACTTCATTTCTCTTATGAGTTCAGTTACCATCTGTATGCTGACAACTTCCAGATCTATAGATCGACCCTAGCCTCTCTCGTGAATTCAGTCCCATATCACCAACTACCAAATGCCCATTCCAAAGTGGTCATCCAGTAGGCATCTCAAACTCAACATATCTGAAACAGAATTCACTCCTGTCACCCCAAACCCACCCCATTTTTAGGGCACTTCTACACTTCCGGTCAAGCAGCTTTGCAACTTGGTGTCATTCCTCAACTCTTAACTGACCCTACCTATCCAGCCAGCTGCCAAATCTTGTCATTTCTACCTCCATAACACTTCTCACATCTAACCCCTTCAAGCTAACATGCTGGTTCGGAACTGTAGCACCTCTCACCTGAACTCCAGTTATCTCTCCCTACCTCAAGCCTCCCTTAAACCTAACCCTTCTTCCACACAGCTGCCAAAGTGATTTACTTAAAGCGCAGGTTTGAAAGAGTCACTCCCATAACTCAGTGATCTCCAATGGCTCCCTATTACCTCTAAGAACAAATAAAAACTCCTCTATTTGGCATTTAAATCTCTCTGCAGCCTGGTTCTTTCAGTTCTCTTGTTCTCCTCCACACATATACCCTGCAATCAAACCATACAAGTTTCCATCTTCCTTCTCTGTGCCTTGGGACTAGTTGTCCTTTATGCCTGAAATGCTCTTTCTCCTCCCTCCCCTGTCACAGGATCCTTGGTTTCCTTCAAGACTCAGCTGAAGCGCTATCTTAGACATGAAACCTTTTCTGACTCCCCACTCCCCGCCCCAGCCACTGCTAGTGCATAACCTCCAAAAATCCTGCGCATGACGCCTTCCCCATTTGAAAGAAAGTTCCCAGAGGGCTGGGACTATTTTTAATCTTTCTCTGTATCTCCAACACTTCACACAATGCCTGGCATAGTTAGAACTTGAAAACATTTGTTGATTGATCAATTGATTGATTTGGAAAGAGTGTAGGATGTCCATTTCCTGGATTAATGGAAAGGATTTGGATTCAAAGGACCTGGGTTCAAAACCCAGCTCCAATATTTAATATGGATTCTTTGTGACTTTGGACAAATCACTTAACATTGCTGGACCTCAGTTTTCTCATCTGTTTAAAAAAAGAAAAGGAAAAGAAGAGGTAGAATAGATTCCCTTCAAAGTACCTTTCCATCTAAATCTATGCCATTAGGACACCTGTGATCTCATCAAGGTGGAGAACTCCTGGTACAAAAATGCTCATCTCTAGCTTACAGCCTTAGATAGTTACCTGGGGCCCTTAAGAGGTTAACTGATGTGCCCATGATCACAAAGTCAGTGTTAAGAGGTAAGACTTTGGTCTTCCTGACTCTGAAGCTAGCCTTCTATCTAACATGTAATGTCTTGGTGTGTCTACTATTTTGGGAAGGGGACTGGACCTACAATTTCATCAGGATGTAGAATCCTTCATGTCAGTCCCTCAAAAGGCATTTAATAAGCACCTACTATGTGCTAAGCTCTGCATGTGAAAACCACTTCTACCAGTGCAGGTCAAACCCTGCTCTGCAACTTAGACAGTTGCCTGGGAAGACTGAAAGGGTAAGTTGTTTGCTCACAGTCACATGTGCCAGAGAAGGAATTAATCCCATTCATATCGATTCTGAGACCAGCTCTCTCTGTCCTCTATACCATCCCACTTTTTCAATGTTATCCCACATATGGTACATCAAAACCTAAACCAAGGCCCATAGGCAAGAATTATGAGTATCTTAGATCGCACACAATCTACAGACAAACAATTTTCAGCCTTGTTGCTACATAGTCTTGTAAATAAAATCTGATTTGAAAATTTGGGGGGTGTTGGAATTTATAAACTAGTAGACTAGAAGTCACTGTATGGATGACTCCCAAGAGAATATCCACAGAGTAGAATTACAGTCACCTCCCAAGGACACCCAAGCTCAAATTCATTCAAGTCCAAAAAGGAACCATAATGTTTTTTCAAAAATATTTGCACAATGTTCCCAGTGAGAAATACTAATAACTTCAAAGACACCTCAAATTTTGGAAACTGCCACCATCTCTAACCAGAAAGCAAGCAACTCAAAGTACAACAGGAAAAAAAGAGGCAATTGAAAAAAAAATTAAGTCAAAAATAACTTCCTATTTTTACTTTTCTGAAGATTGGCAGCTTTTAGGCAGTGCATTTATTTTCTGTGAGGCTGATGTCATCTCTAACAAAAACACAAAGGCTGCCTGGCAAGGTAGGTGATGGTACATTTAACCCCTCACCTTTCCAACAGAAGAAGAGAATTGAAATTATGATCAGGGGAATTGGTTTAGTAATTTCTCTTCCCTTTTGTTTCTTCCTTACAAACATAACCATCTTCTTCTCTCCTTATCCTTTACTGAGCATGCCCAGGTCACACAAGCTCTCATTTCTCCAGGGTCACAACTGTTTTTTTTTTAACTCTCTCTCTTTCAATTACTTCACTAAAACTCACAGAACCAGGACAAAGGAGGCTAATCTATTTCTCTGCTTATATCTCTTTACAGCAAAAAATCAGTTAAAGAGAGCCTCTGACATGGTATGGAAATCAACGGCAAGCCTGGACAAGTCAAGAGTTTTGTTTTGTTTTGTTTTTTAAAATACAAACAGATGGCCAATGGGTAGGACATTAAGAAGCTTTCTGAAATTGGATTAAGAATGGAGAATAAAACAAAATATTTGTGGCATCACAACCTGTTGTAAAAAAAAAAAAACTAGAAACCAAATAAGTGCCAAGTAACTGGGTTACTAATGAACAAATTGCGGCATACGAATGCAATGGAATAACATTGTGTATAGGAAGACATAAAAAATATGAGGAATTCAGAGAAATAAGGGAAGACTTATACAAACAGATGCAGAGTGTAGAAAGCAAGAACCAGAAGAACAAAATACACAATGGCTACACTAATGTACAGGAAGAAATTATCTTGGTTCTAAGAGAACAAAGGATGAAAATCTCTCAAGAGAAAGGAGGAGTGATTTTGGAGTGCGCTGCATAGCTGCTTTGTTAGTCACTTTATTGAACTTTTTCTTAATTACCAGAAACTGTTCAATGAAGGACAGGAGCCTATCAGGGAATGCCAGGAATTTTTTTTTTAAGACATCAATTTTGTAAACAGAAAGGAAAAAGGGGACCTAATTTCTTCCTCTAGATAGGATTTGTTCAGAGAGTTTAAAATTTTAAAAAAGTCTTAAAATGCTTTTGAGAAAGAATTTAGAGAAAGGGGCCCCCAATATGAGGAACTTAAAATAACTTGATCAGAATGAAAGAAGTCAAATCTCTAAGTCATGTTCCACAGTCAAACAAGTGGGCTGCTGTGAAAAACATCTAAAATACCTGTAGTATTGAAACAAGGATGTTCCTTTTGCAATAATAATCACTGTGCTGGTAATTACTATCAGATAATTGATCAAGTTCAAATTCATCAGGCTGAGAGAAGCAAAGTTAATTGCTAATGCATAATGAGAGGTGCAGGGGGGAATTAATGCAGCTCAACATGGTTTTACTTTTTAATGAAATTTAAATAAACCACTTACAAAAGCAAGCTGGAAATGTTATTTAAAAGGCATAGGATCATAGAACTGGCAACTATGTTGGAGGTCATGTAGTCCAACTCACATCATTTTACAGATAGTGAAACTGAGGCACAGAGATGTTAAGTGATTTGCTCAGTATCACAGGATCATTAAGGGGAAAAGCCAGCACTTAAACCTTGCTCCTGGGACCCCCCAATCCAGAGCTTTTTCCACTGAACTACACTGCCCTCATCCTATAATTGAGTGTTAGAGAACTTTCCCATCTTCCTGTGTTATTTGAAAGAGCTTTAGACCAAGAAACTAAAGAGGAAAATGAATGTACAGATACCGGACCAGGACAGAGGACTATAGGCCTACAGACATATGCTACAGAAGTCCTGACAACATCCTCTAACCCCAATCCATTTCTCCCAGCTCTTCCAGACCTGCACAGCACTACCAAAACAATCATCCTAAAATACTGCTCCAGTATATGATCTCCCCGCAC